CGTTGACCGCTGCTACATCGGGCCCTCGACGCACGAGTACGAAATGATGTACGACGATAGCCTTGACCCGCAGGTAGGCGGACGGTTGGCGGCTCACTGCGCAATAGTACACCCCCTAATTCTTTTCCTTTCCCTTCCCCCCTTTTTCCCCCCTCACTCCCCTTTCCTTACGCCGTCCTCCGTCCTGCCCCAGGTTCCCACCCCCCTGGAGCTCTCCCCAATGGACCCCCCCCTGCCGTACTTGTCCCGGTGCGCGGGTCGGCTGTCTCCCCCCATCACCGTTGGGGGCCGGCTGGAGCACATCGTAGATGGTGGGTCGGTTTTGCAACTGGTCTCCCCCCCTTATACCCCACTCCCACTTCCCTAGCCTTGGATGTTTTCTTTCCTTTAATCACCTGTGTTTTGTTGTACACCCCCCCTCCCCCCGATCTGATCTGACTCTGACCTGACCTACCGCGATCAGTGCTGTTGTGGTTCCTGCATGCTGCCTTATTTGTGTGTGTATGTATGTATGTATGTATGTATGTATGTATGTATGTATGTATGTACGTGCTGATCCCGGTTACCAGGCTGATTGAGGGTACCAGGCCGCCACGTGTCGCGAATTCCAAACCCGCCCGCCAGCTATCCGTACATACAACCAAGCCGGCCCGTTGCGGGCGCGTGTATGTATGTGTGTATGCTGCTGCTCAAGTAGGCAATGCCAATTTGCTGGTGATGTTGTTGACTACATACAAGTACGCACATTTCATGGTCGTACCGAGGAGAGGGGCGCTGCATGTCGTACTGCATGAACGGGCCGACCCACGGGACATGGTGCAGGTGAGAGCGTCTGTCTGTCTGTACGTATGTATGTGTACGCTCAGCGAATTAACCTATATGGTTTTCGTCAATTTAACCTTATTCAAAACCCCCCTACACACCAAGGCCCCCCCCTCCCACCCCACCCCTTCGATGTCATTGCCCTTGGGCCCCCCCCCCACCTCCCTTTCTCTCCCCACACACACCCCTTCCCCCCTCTTTCTTCGCTCCCTTCAGGCCTACCTTCAGGCCTGCATCCTGAGACGTCGTATCCGCAACGACCAACCACTACCCGATCCGGACGAGCAGATTCCCGAGCTGCGTCTGGAGCTGCAGGTTTGTACGATAGGATACGCTGTCGATGAAACGCCCCAACCGCTAACTGCCCGTTTGCTAACTGCCATGTATAACTGCCATGTAACTGCGTGATGGTCGTACACGTGTACAGGAGAGCCTCGCGGCGGCGGAGCGGCTGACCACCATCTTCATGTCCACAATCGAGGTACGGCATCGTACCATGCAGTGACATCGCAGGGCGGGCAGGTGTACGGCAGTGGTGATCTTTACGTTACCTTGTACGGCCAAGTGTACGGCAATTATTATCTGCGGATCTGTGCTTTGTCCGATATGCCAGTAATCAATCTTTCGTGCATGCGACGCACATGCCCCTGGACAGCATTATGTTTTGTCCTCGTGCGAAATGAAATTTGCTTCCCTCCTCCCCCCATCGTCATTTTCCTTCCGTACAGTCGTTCACCCTGGCTCGCAGTGTCCTCTCCCTCACCCCCCTCTCCCTAACCCCCTCTCCCTAACCCCCTCTCCCACCCCCCTCAGGCGAATGGCTGGACGGTGGCCAAGGTGGTGGTTGAGGCACGGAGGAGGCGGGCGAGGTGGTGAGGCGTTGAAACCCGGAAGTGAGGTGTGTGTGTATGTGTGTATGTGTATGAGCGCACCACGCTGCGTGGGCGGTGAGAAGAGGAGGATCGGGTCGTGCTCCGGGTTGAGGCGGCTGATCCCCCCCTCGCACCGTAACCATCCGGCCCTCGCAACACCCCATTGCCGAACCCGTAGGATGGAGCTCTTTGTGGGAGGTGTGCGTGAGTGTATGTATGTATGTGTGAGTGTATATATGTATGTATGTATGTGTTTGCGCCGGTCAAGGGGCTACCGGGCCCCCGTCACCGACTGCAGTTGCTCGCGCAGGCGGCGGCGCCGTGTGTGTATGTACGGCAATTAGACATAGACTTCAGGGGAAGATCCTAGGAAGCGGGATCTTCGCTCTCTTAGAGATTCAGGTAGAGTGCAGCCACACGACCGTATAAGAAAGAGCGTACGGCATGTCGTACTTTTAGTCCAGCTGACAGCCGGGTGAAAGGTTTTTTTAGTGCAGTAGGTTAGCGCCGGTTTTCGTTAAGTGTATTCCTTTCATGTCTATATCGCCTTGAAATAGTCTTTCATGCCTGCAGTATCTCCATTACCTGTGTTTAAAGTTTTTAGGCGCGTTGTTGCTGTGTGCTGTTTTCTGAAGGGGTTGTGTTGCAGGGCGTTTTTCGTGGCCCAGGGGCCCACGTGTGTTGTTGGCCGTGTTGGGGAGGGGGGTTGTTCTCTCCACCAGGAGGCGATAGACACATACATACACACATACGTACATACACATACATACATACACACATGCCCACTGAGACATCTGATGAGCTTTTGTTTGTCAGTGTACGTGCTGCTGCTACTGACGGTGATGGTGACGACGATGATGATGGCTGCACTCTAAAACGGCTGCAATGATGGCTGCAAATCTTTATACAAGTTTTCAGCCATTAGGCTTTGACGTTTTGGGGTTGCACCACGCTTGTACAAGGCTCGTACACGGCTTGTACGGCTTCAACGAGCCAAGGGCCTCCTAAGCCGCCCAGCTGTAGCTGTGAACGTTTTGGTTTGTCGTCGTCGTCGTCGTCGTCGTCTGGTTTAGTTCGGTTTGTTTTTTTCGTAATAGCGGCTTCCTGGGGCGGTAGGTGGTTGCTTGTTATTTTTGATGTCCCATCTCTAAGCCCTCTTCTCGGGGGGGATTTCTCCTCCTAAAGGGGAACGAAAGGGGATGAATAGCTACCCCCCTTTTCTGGGGGCCCGGGGCATTTTCGCGCTATTTAGAATACTGAGGGTACTGAGGGTAAACAGGAGATAACCCGCGGGAGATGTGTTGTGTTTTCTGTCTTTTTCCGTTAGGTGTCTTTTCTCGGGTTGCTTTCTAAAGCGTAATAAAAGCAGCAGCTTGCAAACACGAGGATCATCCTATTCCTGGCAGCCTCAGTTGAGATCAGGGAGTCGATCAGGGTCGCGGCGAATATGAATATGAAGGGGCCGGCGGATATTAGTAGACACATTTACAACCCTCTTGGAGCTCTGTCTCTGTCTCTTGAGAGGACAGCGCATCAGAGGCGAGATAGATACGTGATGAGATATACCTCCGCATGCAAGGGTGTGCTGCGGCGGCGGCGGCGGCCGCGGCGGCGGAGGCTGGTAATTGTAAAGCACATCGCATATCTCGCCGGCATCCTTGGCCGTTGTTTGTTTGGTTGATTGATTGATTGAAATTACACTCCTAAAGCCGCCAATCTCTGACTGTCAACTGCAACGGGCAACGGAAGCGACTACAACGGCCAACGGCGCCCCCCTGAAGATGGATACCAGAAGAGGACTATGGCAGGAGAGCCTTGCGCAGAGAGGAGGAGGTGCCTGACAGCCGAGCGCACAGCACACAACCGGGAGGCCGGGCTCTGATCCCCTCTCTTCCACCTTGCCCATCCGTCTGCCATCAAAAACATTAATAGTTCATATTCATAGTGCCCGCAGTTCGCACGGCCTGTAAGCGGCGCCTGGGGAAGAAGACCGTTGAAGGGTCCAAGCAGAGCCAAGCTCAAGCAGAAAAGCATCACTCGCGGGAGATATGTACAACGAATATCCGAACCTCTGCCTTGTGCTCAAATCACTAGGTGCCAGCAATAAGTCACCACCGGAGTAATCCTCACCAGAGAGATTTCTCTCTATGGCGACGAGCTCCTCTCTACTCCGCGGCGCTAAGTAGGGCATATCCTCCCGCGTACACGGTATCGGCATATGGTACTGCAGAACATACGTAAGTACACGTACAAATCGAATGTACAGTACGGTGCGGAGACGTACGAACTCACGTGGTAGTACCCCTTGGAAAGGTAATAATAGACTGGGGCGTCAAGCCGATGCCTCTAACCGAAAAGCAAACAGCGACTCATTCAACCATCGTTGCTGTTGTATACACAAACAGATTCCGTAACCTCCAGGAAAGTTCACTTCCGCGACGGAGGCTGTTCGTAAGGTCCCCTTCACCGCGCCCGAGCCTTCCAAATTCCCCAAAGACCCCACAAACCAACGCCCAAGCCATGTTTCACCGTGCACCTGGCTAACCAGAGGACATCCTCGGAGTCTTCTCACGTCACCCCGTGTGCCGTAGCCCGTGCTCTTAGCCACCTAAGATCGCGCAGTGAAGAAATGACCGGCCTGCCTCCTACCACTCATTGATGTGCGGGTTAGGATCATGTGATGAACACGATACGATACTCATCCAGGCGACAGTCCGCCATCTTCACCAACTCCACTGAACGCCGTCGCATGGCGCTCAAATGTAATGTTGTTATTAAGCGGGTAACGCACCCCGAGACGGTGCAGTCCGCTTGGCCGCTCTCATCATCGCATTAAAATTTCTATTAGCAAAGGCTATGGATGCGATGCGAGTGAGTCTTGTGTTTCTGTGCGTGTGTTGGGTTTTTGTTCTGGTGGTTTTCGTTGAGTTTCTCAGGGTTTGCCATGCTCTGCACGCGGGCTCGCAGCAACGGCGGCACGTCCAGGGTTCAAGGGCCGAATAATGAATGAACAGGCTGAATGAACGTGGAGCTGAAGGAATGGCGCCATCAACGGAGGGGAAGGGGGAGGAGGGGGACGGGCAGTAAAAACACACTGGGCAAGACGCACATTTTGACAGACGGCGCCGCTGCCTACTGCCCGCTGCAGGGAGCCTCCAATAAAGGGTTTGGCAACAAATAACAACAAGGAATACGCGCGCATTTGCTGCCTTGCGGGCGTGTATGAGTGACAGCTTCCACAGGTCCACACCCGCGCGCGCTTACACCGGCACCTTCGCCACTTCAAGATAATCACAATATCGATGATTATGATGATAATACATCACATAATTTTTTGGTAGTTGTAAGGAGAAAAAACAAAACATTATGCTAACAAGAACGATATTATATGAAACCATATTATTATTCCATCAACAACGACCCGAAAGGGCTATAGCTCTATTAGGTAGGACACGCGTATGCTCACCCCTCAAGGATTGTACGGCGTTATAACAACAACCCTTTTTACCCTCATCATCGGTGGCATCGCCGCCCCGTAGTGTGCTCGAGTTTCCGGAAGAGACATTGGGCCTCTCATAAAAAAATTATTCAACCCAATGTTTGTTTGGCCCGGCAGCACAGCCGTAAACACCGTGCGCATTCAGCCACGTCGGCCGACGTTGCTGCGCCGACGCCAGCATCTGCAGGCGGTGACAAAGCCGCCGCCCTCGCCCTCACCCCCGCCGCTCTTGCCTTCTAGCAATCAGAGTAATAAAACAGCAGAGGCACATTCGGGCCACGTATGCGCCGCATACAGCCAGACCTTTCCACTCTCTCTACATCGCGCAGGCTGGGTGCTTGACGACAGTTGCCACCGATAATACAAATCGTCGTCATGATACGCCTTGCCGTGCGGCAGCAAAGAGGAACAGTTTAAAAGAGGACACCGCCGCCAGAGTGTGACTCTTCAGAAAAAACTTCATCCCTACTCCCCCCTCTCTCGCATCGTGTGGAGGTACCTCTTCTCTCTCTCTCTCTCTCCACCGTTGCAACGTCCTCCCCCGCGCAAACTGACGAGAATTTCATAATCTCAAACGTGACGTAGAACACACGTGAAGGGGAAGGGGGAGGGGAAGTGGGTGGGTGGACCAGTCGACCTCTGGCCCCCAGGCGCACAACACCACAAACCGCAGAGGACTTGACGACGCAGCAGCAGCAGCAGGGACGCCGGCAGGAACTTGCTACGCGGGTTAGTTGTAATACATTGCTTTTCTCTCTTCTCTCCTCCTCCTCCTCCTTCTTGTCCTTGTCGCCGTCGTCGTCCCTCTCCTCCTCCTTCTGACAGGCTTCTGGAAAAGTGCTGTTTCTCTATCAAGTCCGCGGGTTCCCAGTTCGGGAAACCGCTCAAGACCCTATCGCGGCCACACACACACCCCGGCATTATTGAGCAGGCAACGCAAAAGAGGGCCCCTCCAGACGCCACACCCCGGCGCGGAAACGCACGTCCGCGAGGGCGATGCCGCCTTCTCTCCGGACTCATCCGGAATTCACCTCACTTCCCAATGGCCAGACCGATGGACAGCCAGAATTAAGAGATCACGCCGGGGGATCTAACCCCCGGCAATAAGGCCCTTCAAACAGCGGCAAATAACGCTCACATATGAAAAAACAGCTTTACGTTGTTTTCTCTCTCCATACATATCCATAGCTCTATCCATCCACACTTGCACGGTACTGGCACAAACCCAAACACTGCCGGAATGGTATATCATATCATATCATATTATCTTATATATGAAGCTGAAGCTCACAAAAAAGGCGACATGTTGAGTACCATTTACAGCCTTCCCTGCGCACATACACACATACGCACGCACTTGGCGCACACCATTGCTGGCGACGCCGGCGGCGGCGGTCAAATAAAGGGGCGCAATATTAAAAACTACAACAGCACCCGGGGCCCCACGTCTTGCGTCTCTATCGTGAGGTGCAGCGGGACCGCCGCACGACACCCAGTCGTACACGGGGTTGAGTTCGGGTATTCACCAGATGCAACACGTCCGGCATATAAAACATACGCCTAGAAATCCATGCCGTACGACTGCAATACACACTTTCGGTGGAGTCCTAACCGAACTCCCCACTCCCCTACATACATACATGCAAACCACCCAACGTACATACATACATACATCATAATGTGGCCCCATCAAGTTATAAACATTTAGCGACCCCACCCCGGGCGGGGCCATAAGGTAACTTAAGCGGCATAACGACAAACGACAGGCGCGCACACACACACACATATGCGCGCACCTGCCACCCAAGACATACATACGTACGTAGGTACGTACGTACATCTCGGCCTCCCGACCAGAAGATAGCCACCGCATGGCAGCTGCCAGCAGAGACCACATGACGCACTATTTCGACATACATACATATACATACATACATATGTATATACTCCGTACACATTCCTACTAGACCCCTCCAGCGCAAAACCCCCTCCCCAACACACACACACACACACAAACGACACGCGAACCGTCTGCCATCCTGGCGGATTATAAAGCTCTAGACCAGACCAGACTAGGCTAGATAAGACCGAATGATGTATCAACTTAATTAAGAAAGCTAATAACGACCTACAAAGACATTCCAAAGCCATCAGCCCCGCGAGAGGAGGTCGTTTCGCAGGTTGCCGGTCGGAGGCGGTGCCGTACAACCCTTCTCGTGTTCCCCTTCACCTTGCCTCGCCTCTGCCGTGCGAACCCCAAAAGAGCCGATGAGCCCCGATAGCGTCCGGACCGTATTCCGTTCTCATTCCGCGCCATCAAGCGGAGGGGGGCGGGGGGAGCGGGGAGAAGGGAGCGCAATGAAACACGCGACCGCGTGCGACTGGATAGTCAGTGTATCACTCATACCCTTGTTGTACGACATCTAATTGCGCCTCTCCTCTTCCCTTCCCCCCACGGCACCACCTTGCTCTATCCCGTCTATTCGCCATCATTTATAAACACGATAATTTTATGATATACTCGCCGCCGAAGCCGCCGCCTCGTCTTCCTCCTGGCTTTTGAAAGGTTCGCAAAGATTCATCATTTTTTCCCAACAACAAGAGCATCAGCTGCTAAATAGTCAAGTCGCCATTTTGCCATTGCGATCACAAACAAGGCAAAAAAAGACAGAAGCAGCAAGTGGACGCGATAAAAACGACACGTTTCGCACGTCGCGCTCTGTGCAAAAATAACTACTAAATGCACCTACACATGTCGTACATGACTCATCAGCTGACTCCATCAAGTCTAGTACCATATATGTAATATACCGTCCTCTCTGTTTTACGTAACCCTAAACATTTCATCTCAAAGGTTGTATACGCTTTGCGGATTAAGTTATATTTTTTTGAGTTTTATGTCGTACTGTGTACGGCATTGCACGTCCTCAACTTGCCTTCCTCTCTCCGCGTCCCCCCTGCCTGCTCCTGCAATGCGCATATTGCAGCAGCCAAACACACAGAACACCACAGCTACCGCTTAACCTTAATCCACCCCCACAGCAGCAAAAAACAGTAAACCCCCGCTCCGCGCGACGCTACATAATCACATGTGTACGCGACCTCAACACTCCCTTCACCTCCCCCACGAAGAAGAGGGAGGAGGGGGAGAAGGGGGAGAAGGGGGTTGCGCCCCTTAAGACCACCGAGAAACCAACGGTTATTTTTCCAACGGCTTGACTCCGACATCGTCCGACATCACGGCGCACATACGAGGTGGACCCCCCCTAGCTCCCCTCATATACTCCAGGGGAGCACGCCTTGACAGGACGGGGGAGGACATGACTCGCCGCCGATTTGACTCAACAGTCCGAACTCCTAATATGCTTAGGGAGCAGCCCCTGCAGGCGGGAGGTCGAGCGAGCGAGCGCGAGGCTCTGGCGGGTTCCTCTCCAGTCGTTCTGCCTTCATGGCGTCGTCGTCCTCCTCACCACCATCAGGCAGTAACGACGCCGCCGCTGCTGCCGGCACACGCGGCAGTTGCCGTTGGCTCCAACGACACACCCATCGCCGTACTTCCTGCGGAGGGTACGACGGTAAAAGTGTCTGGACGGCCATTGGCGGCGGCGGCGCCGCCGCTGACACCAGCACCGCTCTTGAGCTGTAGCTGTCCATTCACCAGCTCAAATTGACCCGTCGCCAAACCCTCCGTTAGTACTGTCTGCAGCAGCGGCAGCAGTAGCTGCTGTACGTCAGTCTCGGCTGGCGGCGGCAGGCTCGGGCCGTGGCCAGGGTCCGAGTTGCGGTGGACGGCTGAGCTTCCGAACTCGCTCGAGATGCGGCGGATGGCTGCGTGGAGACCCGCCGGGCCCGGATCGGATGAGCGCTCCAAGACGTCGACGTCCGGCTCGTCGTAATACAAGTCAGCGTGTACGGCGTCGACGTCGGTGGCGCCGCCACTGCTGCCGCCGGGCAGCGTCGGGAGGAGTCCTGACGGGGTGTCCACCGCGCCCGTGGAGGACGCGGAGCGCAACACGCGCTGCAGCAGGGCACGATAAGGCCCTGCCATCGTCATGGCGGCGGCGGCGGCATCGTCGACGCCACCGGTGACCGCAGCCAGCGCCGCCGCGGCGGCGGCGGCATTCGAGTCGTACGCGCTCAACATGGCCCCTGCCGAGGTGCCGGAGCCCGAGGACGATGGGCGCGAAAAGGCATTGCCGCCGACTGCACCGTCAACAGACGGCCGTACAGCCAAAATTGCCAAGTCGGTCTGGACGGCAGCGGCGGCGGCGGCGGCAGCCGCGACGGCAGCGTCACAGCTCAACACCATAGCTGCTGACGGACTGCCTACAGTGCTCGCAAGTGCCGCGGACTGCGGAGACGACGCAGAAGCCGACGGCGACAGCGAGTACGGGCTGCCGCTGGCTGCTGCCCGTACGGCACCACCGACGCTATTGGAAGCGCGTAACATGGCAGGCGTCGGTGGCGGCGCCGCAAATGGCTTCGGCAACGACATGTTCTGCAGCGCCGCATCCACGCCGCCGATGCTCGTCCGGTATAGCTGCTGCTGCTGCTGCCGTCGCGACGGGTTTTGTACGGATCCAGACATTCGAAGCAATGGGGGGGAAGATTCCGCAGATTCCGGGTGATTCCGACTCTGTACGGTAGACGTAGCCGCGGTGGACACCGAAGTACTCGTGTCGACTGGCGTAGACAAGCGTCGTACCGCACCGCTACGGTTCGTCGGAGCGGGCATGTGCCGGGGCGCCGCAGCGGCGGCGGCAGCGCTACTGCCGCGTCCGCCGCCACTAGCCGTCAACGCCACGCGCTGCAGTGGCCCAGATGCCGCCGCACCAGACGACGGAAAGTCGGTGGCAGCGCGCCGACCGGCGTCAACACTACTCGCCCACGCCGGCAGCTGCTCGCTGCCGTTGCCGTACATTCGAGTTCCACTGCCACCCGGGGCTGCACTCACGCGGTAAACAGTCTCGCCCGGGTTCGAGTACGACCGCGCCCGGCCCGCCGCGACAGGGGGAGGTCCCGACGGCGGAACGCCCTCGCTAGTGCGATAGTAGCCGCCGGGAGTGACGAAAGGACTGCAGAAAGTCTGTGGCGGCGGCGGCGGCGGTCCGTTCGTCGGCGCACCAGCTGGGGGCGGCGGCGGCGGCGGCATACTGCCGTGGAGGAAGACAGCGCCCGCGGGCGCCATGTGGATCGAGCCGGGGTGGTGTACGGCGGCAACCGCCATGGCCGCCGTCGGGGCAGCGATGTGAGGTGGCGGCGGACGGACAGTAATCGGTACGGCAGTCAGCTGCGCAGGCCCTGGCGGCGGCACGTGGATGTGGTGCGCTGGTGCACCCGGCTCGCCTGAGAGCGACGTGGACGTCGACGGCATCGGCATCGCTGGATGCAGCATGGCGGGCCTTGCCTGGTACGGCATGAAGCAGTGTACGGCAGTGCCTGGCGGAGCCAGCATGTCGGGGCGCAAGCCTTGATGCGCTTGCGGTGGAATGCCCATCAGGACGACAGGCTGCAAGAGCCCGAGCGGAGTGCCATGGTGTACGGCAGGTACGGCAGGGCCTCCTGACGCGGCGGTGGCGGAGGAGGAACCCGCCAGCGGCAGGGCCGGTGTCAGCGGTGCATACTCTCCGCTGTTTCCCGACGCGGACATAATGCCCGACGAGGACGACGGCGATAACGGCGGTGGCATGGGCAGCGGCGGCAGCGCCGGCGGCATCAAGGCGCTGGGCAGCAGGGGCTGCTGCGGCAGTGGCGCGGCGGCGCTCTCATTCTCCTCGACACTCCGAAGTTCTTCGACGCTATGGGCGAAGAAGCACGTCGGCCGGCGGCAGTTGGCGCCCAGGTAGCACAATCGTGTACGGTACCTGCAGTACGACACGGGGAGCAAAATGAGGGATCGTGGGATAATGATGATGGGATTTCGTATGACAGCAGCGGAGGGCCTTGTGCGGATGGGCGGGTGCCGCCCGGGTTGGCAGTGGGATGGCAGACAGGTGGCGAAAATTGCGTGGAGGAGATCGAAGTGCGTGGTCGGGTCGAAGCACAGCAGATGGGGGCCTGTCCATACTTGTACTACACATACAACATCAACTCGGCACACAGTTGTTTGAGACGTCGGCATGCAGTGAAAAGCGCGTCATATGCGCATGTATGCGTCGCGGTTGAAGTGAGGGAAGTGGTGGCGATGGTGGCGATGATTTAGTAGGGTGGTATACATGCGCCGACGGCGGCTGCAATCCAATGATAGATAGCTCCGGGATTTCTATAATAATTAACATAATCACCGAAGAACCCAAAACTTGTTTGCTCCACTCCACAGCAAACGAATCAAACGGGAGATTCGGGCCATGGGGATGTTTCACATTACGGCTCACAATTAGCAAATAGAACCCTTAGTGCTGCAGATTTCAACAAGCGGCCAAGTCATTTAATTATCCTTTGCTTGCGGCGCCTACAGCTCCTGCTACAACTGCTACAACAGCTGCCGCAGCTGCGGGCCACATCAACGTGTACTGTAAATCACATGCATGTGAGGTAAGAGCGTAGGCGAACAGTGTGCACACCCGCAAAGCAAGATATCTTATCCCAGAAGGCCATAATTCAGTGGGAACCGCTGTCCAAGGGCAGGACGTTATTTTAAAGCTGACGGTTGGTACGCGAGGCAGCTGTACAGAAACTTCCGATTTGGGCGCACTTACTATCCGCTTCATATCGGTAATCTTTCCAAGTCTGCTTAACAAAAATCATACAAAATCGGCTCTAGACGTACCGAGCTGGGTGAAGCCATTGCTCAAAGGTATTGTGCGCGTAAGGGCAGGCGTCGCCGTTCGGGCACTGCCGTTTGGCTCTGGCGTTAATGCATGGATCTGGAAGATACGAAAAAGTTCTTGGGCAGCGCCGCCGAGCAGTCTCGCCGGTGTGGCTGAACGGGCAGTGCGTCCAGCTGTGACGATAGCCATGTGGGCAAGGAAGAATCCTGCAAAGTAACCAGTTAGGATATTTGATGATTCATGTTAGCAGGGAGGAGATTTGTAAGGAACAGGACTAGCAAAGGGAGGCTCTCGTTGCCGATGACGGTGCGTCGACAGGTCGGAACAGGTTGTAGGCTTAGCACCTCCAGCATGAAAGCCGACGGCATGTACTCATAATTGGCCTAAATTTGTGACACAAGCGGCTGCTTAATTACGAACCCTATACGAACTCCATCCGACGACAGTCAGCGTCACAGAGTGCGGGATACAACCCTGTAAACGCCATAGCCTGCCGGCATACAGTTGATGCCATCAGACTTAAGTTGCAAGAGCGTGTCTGTCGAACGCTGCGGTGTTCCCTTCCATGCCCCTGTTAAGCACACTCAGACCTGACAGAGCGCCGACGAGGCCTAAACGCGCAGCATGTCCATGCCCGAGGCCTTACTTGTAGCTGTACATCCAGAATTCATCTGGTAGAGAAGCGCTCCGCAAAGCTTGCAGCATATCGGCCTGACCAGCCTGCTCGCAGTCCGCCTGCCGCTCGATAGGCTCCATGTCGCTTTGGCTCATGTTTCTTCCGAGAAAAATTACAATTGCTAATTCCAATTAAAGGGATGCGAAGTCTTACACGCCCAACCGTTGGGCGACGAGACCTCAGAGCACGACTTTGATTAACAAGACGAGAGTTGCAACAAATAAGTTATAAGTTGGAAAGGTTATAAAGACAGACTTATGGAGTTATTTGTAGCCCCGGTGCCTGGAAGTACACAGCTTAGCTCTTCGGAAGCTGGCCTGAATGCTAATAGCACATATGGCGAATTTGAAGCGCTTATCCAAGAATTAATTGGAAGGTGTACATCTTGATCTTTATTGAATATGGGAGCTCCACATTGGTTGGTACGACTATGAAAACCCAGTAAGAGGGAAGCTGAACCGCAGTTAAGTCGACTGTGATTTTTTCGCTCTAATGGCACAAAGTGGATAAATTAATCCTCCACCCACGGCCCGCGACTCCATCGTTCTCAACTGCTCTAGTCGCGAAGTTCGTCATGCAGCTCGCAATAAAGCAGTTAGAAAGAGCATGTGTCCGCAATACCGCAAACCGATTCGCACAAATTAGATGCCTCAATCCTTACAGCCCATTCTGGATTCCAGTAATATTTTCCATGCAGGCGATAAGCGATTCAAGACTCAGAACCTTCAACAAAGTTCACCTACTTCCAGTTACATAAACTCTCTGCCAATAGAGTTAAACAATCCAATCTCATGTCTTACTGCCGAACCCATTTCATGAATGTTTCAGCGCGCGGCTTGCAAGGTTTGCCCATACGATTCCCGAACCTGGCCTGGAAAAGAGGGTTAGGAAGTCTTTACGTGTTCATATTTGCTATGCCTGCCGATTGGCTCCCTATGCTGTATTACCTGCTGACTAAGCCTGCAATACAGCGCCCCGTCGAGATTCAAGCCTAGACCCTAATGTCCTGACCGTTGGCTTGTGGAGGCGCGCCTGCACAGGAAATGTCGGGAAACGAACAGTTTCAAACGAACAGTGCACCAATTGCACAGTAAATCCGATATCGCCAACCAAGGACGAAGGTGTATGCAAATTCCTTGTTTGCCCAGCAGATGTCCGTTTGTTCCGCGCTCATCTGGGAGAGCGCCTCATCTAGAGCGCCTCATCTGACTCTATCGGGCTGGATGGCAAGTCAACGTTCCCAAACTGCGTCGCGCCTTGTTTCCCCCTTCCTCGCCAGCAAATCAGCCACCCCTTTCCCCCCACACACACACACGTGTCCCCATCTTGTTGTGTCAATGGCCTCGGGCCCGCGTGTCTCCAGACATGGCACAGAACGATCCTTAAATTTCTAGAACGTTCCATATCTTGCGAATTCTGGCCAACACGAGGTGCACGAGGTCGGACTCGATGCCAAGATACTAACCGACCCAATCCACCCTTCAATCCAATCCACAGTGAAGCGCATTAGCAATAATCCTCAGCCGCGCCGCCCCAGCCAGCCAGCCGGCCATCCCACCAACAAGCTCAGGACGTTCCGGGCTCGGCTCCGGGCTGAGCTTCTGACTGAACCTTGAACGCCCCAGAAAACGAACACGACGCGCAGATCGAGTTACCTGCAAAATCGCGGATAGGGCCATACCTCCATAATGCCTTGCCTAGGCGTAACACGCACAGCAGGCGAGCGGGGAAGGACGACCGCGTCTCCCCACCTCACCCCGCACCGCACCACAAGAAAAACAATCAACAGTGCATGGGTCCCCTCAGGTGTTTACGGACGGCCCCCCACCACTTGTGCGGAATCGGTAAAACATAACCCACACATAGCACGCCACAGCTGCGAAACGGCAACACAGTCCCTGTATAAACCAGCACACGCCCTCCAACTGATTGAGCCAAGTACGACAGTGCACAACAAGAGGGAATGACAAATTCCAAAAGTCCGGCCTCCACAGGTCTCTGGGTCACGACAAGTCACATGCCCCGTTTGCAAAGTGAAGACCCATCCATCCATCCATCCATCCAACCGCCTTCATGCCACCGTACGGCACCTTGTGCAATCGTGCTAGGCACAGTACCTGGCCTGCCTACCTACGTTAACTCCCCATCACCACCCCGCATATGGGTTGTGCTCGTGTTCTCGCTTGTTGACTGCATACGCCCTCCCGGCCCCCCCTAAAGGCCCCTCATTCCGTCAGTCGGGTTATCACATCATGGCCTGCGCCGTTTTTCCGGCCGCCTCACGGCCCGGTCGGTATCCGCGTTGAGGCGGTTGGCCAGGTTTCGGCGCATCTCATGCAGCGCGATGACTTCTGCGCGCAGCGCCAGCCAGGCGCCCGCGGTGCTCCTTGTCACCACCCGGGGACCGTACAGCGCCACCGGACAAGCCAACTCCGTGAGGGTCGCCTCGACCGCTTTGAAGGCCCTGGGGAAGCGAAAGAAAACAACCCGGGAAAGGAAATATGGGTCAGCAGGAGAAACCCTAAATTAGCCAAGTACAGAAATTAGCAATTAGCAAAGTACAGACATGAGCAGAGTACAGAAAAAAGCAGAAAAAACATTACATAGTTCATTATGTACAGGGGTGGGTTGAGATGGTCGCGGGACTTGACATGAAAAGAGGGCTCAGGTCAGATGGAGGAAAGCACGGAGAGCGCAGCAGCAAGGCGAGGGACGGGACGTGGCAGGAGGGAAACACAAGAGGACGGGAGAGGCGGGAGCAGAGGGCGGGCGCGGGACCTTGCGGGTAGTGCCGTGGCGTGGTACTGGCGTGAACCACTTATTTCGCAGTGGGCGCTACCCTAACACCTCTTAGCCCCCTCACGGCCTGTAGGCGCCTACAGCCACTTCAAGGCAAACCCGATAGTAGCAGCAGCCCCAACTACCCTCAACAAACTACTACAAACGAACTCCCAACCAACCCTGACAAACTCTCGGACCAGACGGCTTGGGCTCTCCCCCCACAACCCCGCCGCCAGCCCCCAAACCCCGGGTCTACCCATCCCAACCCTGCTGCCCCTACCGCCACAACCCCGCCAGTCATATTCCACTATATGGCTGCACCGCAGCATTATGCACCTGGAGCCGCCTGTCATAACTGCCGCCTGCTGAGCCGCCATGGCCTGCGTGTGCGCGCCCCGAAGGTACACTCCCGGCTTCTGTGGACGTGGGCGAGTTGGCGGCGTGTGGGGAAGCAGGTGAGAGGTGAGAGGTGACCCCCAGTATTGCAATGCCACCTTCATGACACCACATTATGGAGCCAGACTGGCTCACGTGACGGACACCCGCTCCCCGCGGAGGCGCGCACAGGGGGGAAAGGGGTCGCGAGAGCATGGGGGGTCGGAGGAGCATAGAGTAATTAATCAGCTCCCGATCGGCCAGGTCTCGCCTCGGCGACTGAGCGCCGATCCCCACTTTCTCCTCCCTCGTCGGCTCACCGGCTTGAAGGGCTTCACCTCCGCATCGAGAAGCGATGGGATGCCAGGGGGTGGCGCCGGCTCGAAGTCAGCGGGGTGCCGCAAGTCCCCTCCCAGGGACATCGGGCCCGGACTGAGTGCCCGCGGCGCGCCGGGAGCGGCGGCAACGGTGGCGGCGCCCGGGCCCAGTGCGGCAGCGCCCATGGGCGCTGCCGCCATGGTCGCGGCGCTGGCGCCACCGCCGGGGCCGGCGGGCAGGGGCGCTGGGCGACCCGGCTGGGAAGGTGACGTGGTGCGAGGTGCAGCAGCGGCCGGTCCGACGGCAGGGGTGGTAGCGGCTGTGGCTGTGGCGGTGGTCGCAGCGGTGGTGGCGGCTGCCGCCGCCGCCGCCGCCGCTGCGCGGCGGGCTGCCATGGCCTCGGCTTTCCGCTTCTCCTCGATAGCCCGTGCCTCTGCAAGGATCTGAGGAAGAGAACCATCAGGACGAGGAGGAGGAGGAGGTAGGGTAAGCCGGGGTTCAGAGGAAAGGAAACCCGAACCGCGGCAAGACCAGAGCTCTGAATCACCATGATGGCCGGTGTCGAGGTCCGCCAGTTAACAACCACTTATCACCTAATCACCAACAAGCCAGCCAGGCAGCACGAGAAAACGCGCACACGGTCATGCAGGACAAGAGAAGGCATCATGTTGCGTCAAACTCGTTTGGACCCAACCCCTGAATCCTTAATTCGTAAAGCACAGCCTTTTCCCTCATCCCCTACCCCACTCGACCCCCAGCCCAGCCCAGCCCCAGCCCAGCCCAGCCCAGCCCGACCCGACCCGACCCAGGCCCACCGCATGCTCCTCCGAAATCTGCTGCTGGGTTCGCGCCAGCAGCGCCGCCAGCGCCCGCTTGCGGTCCTGTTCTACTTGCTTGTTAAAGGGGTGCTTCACAATGGTGCTGTTGGCCACTGCCGCCTCCCGCCCCTGCCGGGACACCAGCAGCTTGCGAGCCACGTTGTAATAGCGTTCTTTGAGATCCTCAAGGCTGCGGGGGGTAGGCGAGTTCTGCTGCTGTGGGGCAGGAGCGCCGCCGCCGGCAGACCCCCCAGGGCCGGGCCACTGACGGAAGGAAGGGGTGTGGGCCGGAAATCATATGCTCAGGAAACGAAAGAAACGAAGGAAATGAACAGCATGCCAACGACACAAAATAGTCAGGGGAGCTTTTCCGGTTGCAGCTGCTGCTGCTTCAATTGCTGCCAAAACTACTACTGCTGCACTTCGTCTTTCGTAGCTTTTAGGAGCAAAGGATGCGACCAAGTCCGTGCACGCCTGCACCTGAGGCTCCTGTTGTCGCTGACCCGTCTCCCTCACGTCTCTCTCAGACCCTGCTGTCGCTGAACCGACGGCTCTTCAGAGCCTTCTCCCCTTTCCCCCCCTTTCCTCCGTTAACACAGGAGGACAGCAAGCACTGTTTCCGATTTTCCTGCAGAGGCACATGATGGGTATGTACCGCAGCCAGCTCGCCCCCCCATCAGCATCCCGTAAAGCAGCACTCCCATTCACACACCTCGTATCGGTCAAAGATGACGTGCCATCGCAAGTCGAACTGCTCGCAGAGGTCGTAGAGATAGTCGGTCTCCTCGCGCGTCCAGTTCCCGCTTTCTGGCCGTATCAAGCTGTCGTACTCCTCGTCATTATACTTGTACAGTTGAACCTGTGGTTTGAACCGGAAATGGGAATACTGAAACGCAGAGCCGCTGAACCCGGTACGACCAACATGGATGTGGGGCATGGGCTGAGGCTGCAGTACACTCAGGTGTCGACAAGGATGTAGTAGCTGATACCAGATGTTTCCGAATTCCATCGGGGGCTGGGGAAGGGTGTACCCATACCATACCATACGTGCATGCCTCCCCTCTCTCTAGCTTCCCCTGCAACAATACCTGACGCACCGGCTATCGTGCCTTGCCCTGACCGGTTGCCTATATTTACACAAAAACCCCAGAACGCCAGAAGGTGGCGGCCGTTACCCACCTTCTTGTTGTACTTCGCGTACGGATACTCGGAGTCGTCTGGTTCACGGATGACCCCGTTAGCACCCTTATAGCACTTCAGCCAATGGAGAAGCTCCAGCCCATCCGTCCGTGCTGCGTTCTTAAACGGTCGATATTGATACGTGATAATACCCTTAGTGGAGGGCTTGGGCTTCTTCAAAATATCGTTTTTCTTCAAGCTGCTCGCAAGCTGGCTAATATGATTGGATGTGAGCCTCCAAGAAGGGCAAAGGCCTCTCGAGACATTCCTTCGGGCCGCTTAATTTTCTCCTTTTTCTCCTTTGCCTTCTCCTCGGTTTGGGGCGGCCCCGAGCGGGACACGCCCAGAATGTCTTTAACATCTGCCATTTCTGTTCTCTATCCAGCCTGATGGCAGGCCTCCCGAGCGGAGCAAAGGCTGTGAGAGAATCGACCGTAGTCAAGTCATACTCGGTACAACAGACAAACAAGTTTAGTGACTTCACCACCTAGCGGCATGGTCTATGACGGAAACTACAAGCTACAAATTTACCAAAGCACAAGTAATACATGCCATGTGCCGTACGAAATGGAAATGAACAAAATAATGGTGCAGGCCACAGCTGTGCACTGATGTTTTGTCGTTGGATTGGCCGTGCATTGTGTCCTTGTAGAGACACTCCAGTACGCTATTGTCACTCAGGTGGTAAGGAAACCTAGTCCGTACCTCAGCAGGGAGCAGGGAAATTTCCCTTTGCTTATCTACCTCGTCATGCCGTTATCTGATTTAGGCAAAGCTCAGAAGCTGCGAGGGTAATAATTATTGATGCAATAATTCACCTGGGAGGTCTCTGGGCACACATTTGCACACGTTGTCGCGCTCAAATCGTTGGCTGGCAGCATTTTGTTGTTATTGGACATAACAATTGAGCTAAACCTGGGTCTGGTTGACTGGGTTGAAGCAAGCTGGCGTCCATCGTGGAAACCCTTGAGGCCCCGTTGCTGCGGGTGCCTTTCGAGAGCCTCAAGCGCGCCGCGAAGGACCGCAAGGCGTTGGTCGATGACGCGTCTGAGTATGTATCCGCACTCAAAGCCCCGCTGGTTCCCGCAACAACTCCAGGCCTCCCCCTTCAGCCGTCCACAGCTACCGTAGCGACGCAGCCGCAAGAGGACATTGAGATGCGGGACGCGTACGCTGAGCCCACCGAGCCCGCCGTTACCGCCCGAGAAGCCTCCCTGGAGCGCCTCCGCCTGCTACTCTCCCAGCTCCAGGGCGTCAAGCGTAAGCTGGCGGACGTCTCCCGCACGGAGGCTGACGATTGTGCGCGCTGCAAAGCTCGCTTGGAGCACCTCGCCGCCCTGCGCCCCTACCCCGGCCCTAGTCAGGATCCCTCCTCAGGCTCCGGCTCCGGCCTCGGCGCTGGCCTTGGACTTATTTCTTGGACCCGGCAACGCCTGGACATCCTCCTCGTGGACCACCTTCTACGCAACGGCCACTACGAAACCGCCAACCGACTGGCAACCACCTCCGGCATCGCATTGCTTACGGATGCTCACATCTTTGATGGCGCGCGGCGCATCGTCTCGGCGCTTCGTGACGGCCACGACTGCGGCCCAGCCCTAGAGTGGTGCGCCGCGCACCGCGCTCGGCTGGCCAAGGCCAAGTCTCCCCTGGAGTTTAAGCTCCATGTGCAGCGTTTCATCGAGCTCGTGCGCGCCAGCGACCGCACCGCTGCCATCGCCTACGCGCGAACCTACCTGGCGCCGTGGGGGGGTCAGTACCTGGCGGAGCTTCAGCGGGCCGTTGCGGCCCTGGTGTTCACACCGCAGACGCGCTGCGCCGCCTACCGGGCGCTCTTCGACGAGTCCCAATGGCGTGTGCTGGCGGAGCTGTTCCTGCGGGACCTCTATCGTCTGCACTCTCTCACACCCGAGTCGCTGCTCAATGTGCACCTTCAGGCAGGGCTGTCGGCGCTTAAGACGCCGGCCAGCGGCGAGCCCGGGGGCAGCAGAGAGGACCCGCTGCGGCTCCCCGCCTTTCAGCGGCTGGCGGTGCGGCTGCCGTACGCGAAGCACATGCACTCCAAGCTGCTGTGCGCGGTCACCAAGGAGCTCATGAGTGACGCCAACCCACCTGTGGTGCTGCCGAATGGCATGGTGTACAGCCAACGCGGCGTGGAGATGCTCATGGCGGAGTACCGGGCGGCGCAGGGACAGGGCGGCCGTGCAACGGCGGCGGCGGCAGCGGCGGCAGCAGCAGCAGCCGCCGCCGCCTCGGCGACGCAGGGACAAGGCGGTGGCAGCGGCGGTGGCCCGCTAGGCAGCTCGGGTGTGTGCCCCGCGACGGGACTTGTCTTCCGGCGCGATGAGCTCAGGCGCGCGTTCATCGCCTAGACAAGGCGCGGCTGCGGGCTTCCGAACGGCTGGGTGGAAGGCCAGAAGCCAGATTAGTAGTTTGAAGGTTGCGGGGTAGGAGGGAGTTTGCAGGTGACGTGTGAGAGCACGATAGGACGGTGCGGCGGCGTGCGGGTAACACCTAAGCGGGAGGCCACACACGGTGAAAGATCGACGGCCAGGCCGGAACGTGCATGCGGGCAATATTATGCGGAGGAGAGGGCTTGGCTGGGCGGCATTCCTGCGGCCGAAGGGGCAGGCGCAAGAGTGGCTTTGGCTAGCAGCTGGCTGACTGCCTGCCAGCTGCTAGCCAGTCACTGTTGAGCCTAGCCTAAGCGGGCAGGACCAACGGCGGGGCCTTGGATCGATCAGGCCCTGCGGGGGTTGTTCGGAGAGATGTGTTGTTGCGATTCTTGTGCATCGTGTATCTGCTAACGTTGCATTAGCGCCTGCTGGGTTGGTAGGGAGGTAAGCGGCTCTAACCTCCACGCAAAGCCGCCTTGGGTATGGACGCAAGTAGACTGTAGCTGTAGGCTGTGTGGATTATGGATGTGTGAGAGGGGTTGCAGGGGGGCCTGATCGACAACATGGGAAGTAGGCGACGGCCGCTTGGGTCTCCTCGGTAATGTAGGGGTTGTGCGATGGGGCGGCTCCGCGCAAGGCGCATTCCTTTCACTTTACGGCGTTAATGTGTGTGTTGTGCCGGTTTTCCGTTTTGCGTTCTGTCAGTTGAAATTCTCTCCAAATCGATTGCTTGTCAACGTGTTTTCTTAACGGCGGCGACCGTTGTCTTGTATGTTCTTGCAGCCGGCTCGTGCGGCGGTCGCCTCTCGGCTCTGTTTATGAACAGAAGAAGTTCACGGAGTGAAGTGCCTTTTGGAACTTGTGAAACCCAAAGGCACCTTGCTTTGTTTGACGGAGCAGGCAGCTTGAGGAAAGTGTTTCGCAGCCTCTGCAGTTCACGGGAGGAGTGGCTGGGAGGAGGTGGTAGCCGTGACCTAGCGCCTTGCGGCGAGCTTTTCCCCGCGCCGGCAGCCGACAGACAGCCTTCCGCAAGAACGAGTGGTGTTCTGTTGTGTCTGCCAAAATCATGAAGTGCCGTCAGGTTGGCCATGAGGGTTGTGACTCTGGTCTTCTGTATGTAATTTAGCTGCATGGCTTGCATGGATATACTTTTCAAAAGGCTTGGGAGGGGCCAGACGGCAAGGGGTCGTAGAAGCCGATTGCGGCCAAATCGTTGTCCTGGGACGGAAAAGGGGGGACCTGCATGTGTAGAAATTTGGACGGACATGCTATAAGAGATGCAGGAAGGCGTCGGCCCCGCAGATCTCTACTGCTCAGTAACAAAGTTTCAACCGGATGCCAACGGTGGTGGGCGCAGAGTGGCGCAGCGCAAACGCGGTAACGAGTCGCGGCGGACTATTATGAAACTGTTTCGAATTCTGTGTATTCTGTAGCTGGCCTTTGGGAAGCTTCCTTCATGGGTTATAACTTCGACGCGCTGTAGGAGGACTCTACAAGGATTGAAATTTTCAATGGTTGGGTTTCTGCCGTTCTCCACCGCGGCAACAGTAAAGCATGATGTCTCGAGCAAATGGGTGGAGCGGCATGAGCCTCAGCGCTCTGCCGCCACAAGGCAAGGCAGTGCGTGCCATTAGCCAAGTCAACAATCGTATCTATCGGAGACGCAATTGCAGTTGTTTAGGATATTAGCAGGATAGCCTTCGCCTAGGAAGACGGAGGAGACGCTCTTTCAGGCATGGGTTACAACACCTTGCCTTGTACGGCGCGGTGGCGTCGTAAGCATTCCTGGCATCTCTTATTACAAGGCGTCGGCATATATACTTTGTTTATGCAAATTATAGCTCGGTGTGGAAGCTTTTCTGTTTACGCGCATAATACTCTTGCCCTCACGAGTCCATCACCGCAATAGTATGCAGCTCACACGTTGCCTATCCACTTCAAAGCCTTGCGCTCGCAGCGTAAGCCGCAAACTCCTGATTGTTCGGGCTCAGTTGGACAGTCCTGCTGGTAAGTCGAAGATGTGGGAACCTGATGGTGTTCCAGAAGGTCTGGGAAAGTGCCACGGTTGCGTACAGGCACTATGCATACGTGTGGCTTTTCTCTATCATACGTAGCTGTCAGCTGGTCCTTTTACATGGATGTCTACCCTTCTGACCTAGACGCTGGGGTTTGGTCTTGCCCTCACCTGCGCAGTCGGCTCCAAGGTGGAGCGATGGCTTAAGACTCCTTTCGACATCCTCGCTTTTGGGCCGCGGGCCGGAGCTGGTGCTCTGTTGTCTGCTCCTGAGCGCCTTCAGACTTTGTGAGTTAGACGTGATGCTCATTTCGCTGTAATCAAGTGCAAACATGAAACCTATTGGGATCTCTTTTTCTACTCTCATGTCTGGCATAGACGTCAGGGTAAACTAGTTACCATCTACCCTGTGCGCAGGCAGTCGGATTTCGAGAAGGCGCTTGAGCTTTTGCAGGATCCTCGCCCTATCGAGGAGAAACAAACTGTCCTGCTGAAGGTGCGTGGAGGCATCATCTTGGCTTCTGACCACGCGTTCGTCTGAATCATCCGTGCTTCACCCTGGCCTCTTGCACGCCTCGGAGTATGTTCTGTCCAATCCACGCCTACAAGTGTCACTGCGGGGCCCCCGATATGTACACTACGCAGCCCAGGTTTGAAAACTTCTTACACTTCTGGCATATGGCCGCTGCAGGAGGTGGAGGAGACCCTGGTGGGTTTCCTGGAGAAGGGCGCAACTGTCGAGTCAGACGTGCTGGCAAACGTGAAGACCCTGCTACCGCCTGAAGCTGCCAACCTGCTCAATGAGTTTATTCCGGAGCCCCCCAACAAGCAACCCGACGTGGTGCCAGTGGAAGCCGTGGATGCTGCACCGCAGCCACCGGTGACGTACTATCAGGCCGATGTCATGGCCAACCAAGTAGGTAGGACTGAACCCCTGGGGGCTTTAGCCGCAACCCTACCGCCATACGGTTGCACAGGAGGTTAGCGTGGATGCAGGAAGCTTTTCCAATAGTTTCTTCGCATCATTCGAGTTGACGGAAGCATCGTCTTGAAGACCTGCCGTAGGAGGCATTCATCCCGACAGGTTCACAGCATTTTTGCACGTTTAAATGTGCTTTTCTGGAAGTGTTGGCGATTAAAATAACTGGCATGTGAAAGGGCTCAGTTTCTGGAATCGGGTAACAGGCAGGGCGCTGATCTGGCCTGGGCTTGATCTTCTCTGCGCTGCTTCCGGGACCTTTCCGGGAACCCAAATGCCCAGGCGGAAAGTGTTATACTAGTCGAAAGTACTTGCCCCAGCGCATGTATGGCCTCTCGCCCACAGCCCCAACAGCCTCAACAGCCCCAACAGCCCCAGAGAGCCCCACAGCCCCAACAATATTTTAAATACTCCTGTTGCTTTTGCGTTTGCGTTCCTGTCGCTCCTAATCTTGCACACATGTGCAGCCTCCGAGATGACGGAAATTAAGAAGGCTGTGTCCGGGCTGAAGACCGCGCTGGACGCGGTCCGCCAGAACACGGAAGTTGCCAACACCAACATCCTGCGCTTGAACCTGCGCGAGGCGCGGGACCAGCTGGCGCGCCGCGTAGCAGAGGTGTCTGCGTCCACCGAGTCAGATCCTTCCATTGCCGCTGCTACCCGGGAGGCGAAGATTCTTCTGGAGGAAGTCGACAGCTCCTTCTTCGCTTCTTGAAGCTGTTCTTGAAACTGCTCCACTCAGGAACTCACTCACTACCTACCAGGCGCCAGCCAAGCGCTGTCCGCGATCCACTTACGCCCTAAGGCACAGGAGCTAGAGCGGCGCTGGATTAGTGATGCGAAGAACCTGCGCGCTGAGAACGGGCTTTGGTAAGCTGCCGGCGGACGCAGGGATCAGCAAATTAACGTAAACATGCCCCGTCTACCTGGTTGTCTGGATTATTAAAATTTAGGGCCATGTTGAGTAGCATTGCACCCATAGCGTGCGCTTGGGATGCGTCCCGTAACTCACAAGATGGTGGTTGTGGCTATGGTGCGAGGTGCTGCTATCCTGAAGCAGTGGTCTAGGCGAGCGCCTCTCCTCGTCTCGCCTCGCACGTGGTAGCGGTTCTTGCTTGAGGGAGCATTCAGCCTGATGGCTTTGCTGCTGAAGGTGACGCTGCCGTTTTGGCGATAAGTCGCCCGCCGCAACGGCCGTCAGTGTTCAGGTTCTTGTACAGTGCAGCTCCTGCAATGCAGCTGTATCGTTTAGTGGTGGGTGAGGTGATTCTATAATGCGATTTGGGGTTTTGTTCTTGTTGCGTCACAAAGAGTGTGCTGTGGGGCCATATTGGGTATTTGACTGACGTGTTTGCCGGTCTATCTGTCTGTCTGCGTATCTGCTGGAGCTTTGGGGGTGTGTGTGTATATGGGCGGTATGCGCGCACTTAAACCTTGGGAAATGGCTCTCCGGAGGAAACATGGGTGTACGATTGTACCATGTACGGAGAGTAGTGCTGCGGGCGGGCGGGCATGCGCCCCGCTAGCTGGTGGTTTAGCTCTAGAGGTGCCGGCCTCCCAGTTTGCTTCCAGTGCCCTCCGCCCTTATTGGGAACTCGAGAGTTTTCTGAATAACTTGAAAGTTCAGAATGTGTACTCACATTTTTTTATATTGTTTTACGTCGTTTGATTTGAAAGGCCATTCGATAATCTGGCTGCGCTTCTTGATGTCATGATGTCATGAATTCATTTCGGAAATGGAAGGCCACGGTGACTGTGAGAAGTGGTATTGTACACAGCAGTTCCGCTGCCGTACAGGTATCGCGCGCAGTTTGTTGGTTACTGTGGTAAAATGGTACGGCATCGGCGTCTACGAGTCCACCATTCGCTCTCAGTAACTGAGTCTAGTCTTCAGTACATTTACATTGTTTGTTGATGAAAAGTGATTTCATAGTTTCTAGGTTTTGAAGAATTATCGCAGTGAGTCGCAGTAAAAGAAAGGCCGCAGCCCGGTGAGGCGCCATTTGGGGCTTTTGTTGGGACAGTCGAGTTGTAGACCTTGTAAGCCAATTACATTTCCAGCTCTCTTGCTACCGCCGTTACAGTGATGCGCTAACACACATCGTAACCCATTTATAGGTACACCATCGTGAAAGATCTCTCAGCGTTTCTGGGAAGGGAAGAACCCAGCCAGAAATACACAGCTGTCACATTCACACAGGATAAAGCGCAGAGCGACACACTCAGAAGTAACGCACACACACACACACCATGATGTTTACTACTATTCAGTCAACATATTAGGATCGACATACGAGGACTCAACAGACGTGGCCCCCCCCTTAATCCTGTCCCAATCTCCCCCGGCCCCCATGAGGTCTGACATGAGTTCCTGTTACGGGCGGAACTAAATGCCACGAAAGGCTCGCGCCAAATATATCACAGTTTGCAGATGTGATGGGAACATGGGATAGGATCGCACACTAACGGCCTGCACAACCGAAAGCCTGCTGTACGGAAACAGGCCCACACCGCTCGTACTCTCGACGGAAACTCGGATGAATATTCCGTTGGCTTAGGCTCACATTAGCCCGCTCTCGTCCGTCGCCTGAGAACCGCACACGAAGGCCTGGCCCTGCGCCCTCGAGGTATAACAGTGAAAAGACCCTAGATAGCCACCTGAGATGGCAACACCATCGCCACAACACGCAACAAAAGTGATGCGCTGAACTACCACCTACAGGCTTAAGTAGCATCACCAAGATCTGTCTAAATGTCTATTTTTCTATCGACTTCCCGCCCCCCGCTCGTCCGTCCTTGCTAAGCTAGGTGATCGCTACGGCGTATCTGAGGGCCGAGGCGCTCCTCGTCCTTGCATACGCGCACACACAAGGCCCCAGATCATCATGTATACACACACACACACAGACACACACGCAGACACACACACGCTCGCGCACTTGATCGATCGCTCGGTTCAAATACTACGGCGACACACAGCATCATGCTCTACGTGGTCACGTTGAGCAGTACTGCGCGCACAACTGCTGTCCCCTACCCTCATCATTTCAATCCCCTCGCTCGGTAAAACGCTCGGTAACGCCAGAAGCAAGCAGCGAGTAAACCCCACCGAAAGCCATGTAGATGCTCCTCCTTTCCGTCTTGTCCGGTGTGTCGTTATGCTGCGACTGTTGCCGGAAGACCCAAGTGGATGAACATGCACATGCACATCCACACCCACATGCACACCTTCATTCTCACACATTCTTGGCTTGGTCGTGGACTCAGTTCCAAACCCCCGTATATTGCCGGCATGTGTACGACAACACACAGATGTCTAGGCAAACACGCAGCAACCAAGGCTGTCTGTGTGCGTGTGTCTCTAATGTGTGCGATTTGCCTTTCCCACGCAATACATAACCCCCGAACCAAATCGCGCAACGCTGCAAACCCCGCCAATGAGGCAGCAAACCTGTCCTGTGTGTGTATATTTGCATGTATGATGTGTGAAACAGGGGGGTATACCTTCACCCGTGGCAGCTACCCTGCGAAACCCTGCCTTCCCCGGTATTTCGGGGCACCCTCATCCAGTCACCCTAGTCAACTTCTCAGTGGATCACTCAGGTTCTGCATCCACCACCAGCATCCAACGGAATCTACCGGGTCGACAGCGGCCCAACTCCATTCCTGGTCGGCTCGCAAGTTAACTTTATCCCAGGTCACCACCGTCCATCAAGTAGGGGCGCAATACCTTTCACCATCGGAATGATTTTCGGCCCTGACAGGTCTCGATCCCGGGATCTCCCGGGAACACTGGTCGCGCGTTACCAGTAGTGCTCTAACCTAGTATTGCATGCATGTATGTGTGTGTTTAAATGCACTGTGCCGCGAGACGTAAGGGTTGGAGAATTGATGTCGGATGTGCATATGTATGTATGTGTGAGTCTTTGAAACCATCTGCCGTACCTACCCAACCCCACAATAAGCGGCCACAGCCGGAGCCCTCCCACTTGTGTTCTCCCACGTTTTGTTGGATGAGGTCTTCCTGTGTTTTAGTTCCGGAGCTTGGTGCACATTGTTGTTGATATGCTGCTATGCTGCTGCTGCTGCTGCGTAATCCTGACATTCTGGCTGCTGCTGCTGCTGTTAAGGTCCTGCTGCCGTTGCCGTTGCCAGTCCTGATACCCGATCCAATAGAGCCAGATGACAAAGCTGTTACGACAATCTGTAGAGCCGCCTCTGGCTGGAATCTGTCCCGCCGGAGGATTCTCTTCCCCCGGATGACGCACTGCTGGGTCCGCTGGCGCAGAGCGTGTCGCAAATGATCTGGATGACATCCGCGCCGGCATCCGCGTCCACGCTGACATCGACTGTGTTGCCCTGCGCACATCACATCACATCACATGCACCATACATGCGCACATTATCGCATAGCAATTAACCTTAGGGTAAACAATAAAAAATAATTTACAACACGTAAATAAACAAATTCACGATGATAATAAGATATTAAAACAATATTTTTTATAATAATACGGCTGTGATAATAATCGGCCCCCACCGGCATGGCATGGTGTTGTATACACCTCTTTTCCTACCGTCCTTGCCAATAAACGAACAGAACGGATGCGTTGTTCGGAAAGGACCGGAACGGGCGATGTGTGTGACACGCAATACCAAGCTGCAACGCACCACAGCTCAAAAAGGCGGCGGACACCCCTAAAAAAGCGACTCGCGACGAGACGACGACGAATCCATCCCTCAGGTCCTGTATCGCCACTAACTACCCCCCCCTCCACTCGCTCGCAACCACCTAGCTCCCCCCAAAACACAGCAGTGAGCGTTTCTCTCAGATCATGAAAACACACGCACACACATATAAACACACCACACGCATATACCGCACCGCGCAGCTCGCTTGCAAACCCACCTGCGGACATGTGAGTATGGATGTGGTGTTGCTGTAGCTGGTGAGGGTGCAGGAGCGGGGCCAGATCCGACTCGAGTTACAGTCCCACCAGGGGCTGGGGGTGCACACCCACTGCCGAGGAGAGGTTCGGTTAGGGAGGGGCAGGAATGGGTACGGGTTAGGGGCGGAAAGCAGCTGGGTAAGGCAACTGGTGTGGGGAGGGAAGGGGAGGGGAGGTAGGAACGTGAAAACCAGGCGTGTGTGTGTGTGTGTGTGTGTATATGATGCGCCGGCGGCAAATCTGCTCCACGCCCGGTCCGAGTTCCCCCACCCCCAAGGCCCCAAGAAGGCCTCTGGGGAGAAGTCGTTCACCCGCTGTGGAAAACCGGCTTTGGGAGCTCTTCCTTTCCCTTTTTCCCCTCCCCCACCATCTGCCGCAGCACTCTTTCCTTCTGGTTGCAGCTTCACTCGCTCGTGGTTCGTCTTCCCCCCCCCTCCCCGACGAAGACATAAACAAGGACACACAGAAAGCGTTACACAAGGTACGACATGGTGGCCAATACAAAACAAACAAAAAACAAACATACATACATAAGCTTTGGCACATACGCGTAAATTACACACGCACTGGAGGAGGGGGGGAAGGATAGTCCCGACACGCACCGCATTGCAGCACCCGGCAATGGGAGTCCCCAGCTGCAGACCGGCCAAACCGGCAACAATGGCGGCCAGCAGCACCGCCACCGCCAACACGGCGATGGTGTACACCGCCACAGCGCCTAGCTTGGTGTCCGTTTTCTGCCCGCGGGCAACACGAGGGGAGGGGCAGAGCAGGAATTACACGGTATTCCCTATCGGGAATACTTTTTCTTTAACACCTTCTGCTATCTCTTTTTTTAATTCCCGATAGGGGGCAAGGGAGCAGTGGGGAGCGGAGCGGAGTACTTCAAAACGGGGGCAATTCGAAAAGGGAGGGGAAGAAGGGGGGTAAGGGAAGGGAAGGGAAGCAGCGCCATAGAAACGCGATCCGAGGGCCTAGGAGGGGGTACAGACAATAGTGTTGGCGGACAACATCGGTCCGTGTGTATGTATGTATGTATGTATGTATGTATGTATGTATGTATGTATGTATGTATACGCGTGTGTACGGCGTCACTACCTTGACCTGGTAACGAGCCTTAAGCTAAAGTCAAAGAGCTTTGGAATGGGCCGTACAGACAATACTGTTGGCGGACAACACGCACGGACCTTAACAAGCGAAAGGTGGAGTACGTGACAGATAGACAGACGGATGTACAAGTAGACGCTTTCCGAGGCGGCGGCCATCCCCCAATACATACATACATACATACATACATACATACATACATACATACGTACACACAAAAAAACACAGCGCGCTCGTGCGTGCGTCGGAGACACCCGCACCCTTCTACTCATACTCAACTCTTCCCGCCGGCCCGACACCCCCTATCCATTTCCCCTCTCTCCCACGGCGCCATGGCCCCCTTCACCAGCACCGCTGCACTAAAGCGCACAGTCGTACAGCTGCCATACCTCTCGCCGTACCATCATGACGCCCATGCATATCACCCCTCCGAATACAAACCCAGCGGTATTCCCGCTGTTGTCTACGAAGGGTGTGGCGCCGATGAAGGCATTGGCTGCCACGATGAAGGCCACGGCCGCCGCCGAGACGCCGTGGCAGGTGAAGCGCCGCCACCGGTACAGGAGCATGGCTGTGGCAGCGCCTAGAGGGGGGCGGGGGGCGGGGAAGAGGGGAGGGGAGTGTGCGTGTGGGGGGCTGAGAAAGGGCCCCCGTGTAGAGAAAGAAGGTCAAGGAAATCCATCCCCAGCTCCACTCACCCTAATATTCCCTACCACCACCTCTCTGCGCTGTCGCCCCCCCCACCCCCACCCCCACAACCCCCACTGCCCCTAGTTATCCGCCGACCACACACGTACGCACACACGTACTCAAGATCATTGAAACACATACATACACCCGGCGGAGCATCACCCGCACCACCCACTCACTCACTCGTCGGTCAGCCACAACAGCCCGTATCCATATCCCCCACCC